TTTAAGTCCGATTAATTAAGCTAAATAAACGTCGTTGTCTAATTTAAAGCTATACACAAAGCTATATACAAAATAAAAATAAAAATGATGAAAGTTACAGTATTTATTACAATCTATTTGAAAACATTAAATATTCCTCAAATTTTCATCAAGGCTTAATGCACGAAACCATTCATCACTAGTTACTTATCATATATTATGTATTTTAAGTATGATCTGATAATTGAGTTTATTTTTAAAGATACGGTAAATCCGAACTAAAACAATTACATAATGCTATAATAAAAAATATACTTTCTGCACATCACATTCAAATGGGGGCAAACGGAAGGCACTAAATCACGCAATATTTGAATTAGCATTGCATTTTTTATATTGAAAATAGGATAAAAATGAAGCATTTAAGTTATTGTAATAAAGAATATAAAGACAGCTTAATAAATTTTTTAGCTAAATTTGCAACAAAATTAAAAACAAACGGCAAATAGAATATTTATAATATAAAATGATTTGTCTTCGATATGTCAACATAAGATAAAAATTTGTTGACATTGATTTCAGTCACATAGTCATGAAAATAAATCGTTCCGTCTCTTAAAATGTATCAGTAATATTGTCGAATGGCCTACAGTGCGTGGAGTGCTTAGATTAAATATTTCTTATGAAAATAAAGATAGCAGAATAAGTCTAAAAGAATTAATAAAATATGTAGTGCAAATATTTGTTTGTTTATTTAACTGTCTATAGTGATTTATAAAATAGATTTTTGAATACCCATAGGGTAAGTTATTGTAATCTACGTGCATTTTTTTGCATATTTGTACGTTTGAGGAATTTCTTACGATATTTAGAATATCTTAGAAAAAATCGATGTGTGTACGCATGTATGTGTACAATTTTTCGTCCACGATTTCGAGAGATCGGATCAACCGACTTGAATTACTTAAAAAACATCCGATTTCTAGTGACTGGGAGTGCCGATAGTCTAAATCATTCTTAACTTATTTATGGGATCTCAAAAACTGCTGAACCTGTTTCCACAAAAATGTTATCAATTTTTCGGACTAAATTCAATGCGGACGACCTGTTCTCCAAATTGAATTGCCATTTTTGCACTTTTTGACCCATAACTTTGAAACGGGTGGACCTTTACCAAAATCTAATCGACGAAGGTCCAGCCATTTCAAAGATATGGGTCAAAAAGTGCAAAAATGGCAATTCAATTTAGAGAACAGGTCGTCCGCTTTGAATGATTTAGAAATATTTTACTTGAATTGACGGAATAAAAAATTGATAATATTTTTGTGAAAACTGGTTCAGCAGTTTTTGAGATCCCATAAATAAGTTAAGAATGATTTAGACTTATGCACAATGAACTATCAGACATTTTATAAAGATTTTAATTATAAATTATGTTTACATGTTTATGTTTTTCGTACCAAAATTTATAATGTTTATATGTTAAAATTTACGACGCAGCTTTTACGCGCTTCGAAATTTTGTCTCGTAAACAGCCAAAAATTAGTTTGTTTTATACACAATAACCTGGCTTATGTATATTTTACATTTATTAAAAACAATAAATTCACCTTTTTTACATAATAGGATAGGGTGCAGCAATAACGTCAAATTTGACTTTGAGCAGTTATATTGTGAAGATCAAACCAATTATTTCACAGCAAATAACGCATATTATTCAACAACAATTTGATCAGTTCAGTAAAAATCCTAGCTATTCATCATTGTAGAAATGTGTGTTTTTGCTGTTTTTAACTTCCCGAAGAAGAAGTTTATGTTTTCATATAAAAATTCGATTCACCAATTTTATGCTTTTTCGACGTTTCAAGCAATTCTGAATCGAATGAGAACAAATTTGGTAAAAGTACGTGTGTGAGCGTGTGTGTGAACAGATTTTTTGCCGTAAATCAACGTTTTCTCAAAAACGGCTGGACCGATTTCAAAAATTTAAAAGCCATTCGATGTATTTCGATATGGACTAGCGTTTCTCAGCTTTGCGTTTCTCAGCGACGATCGGCCGAACCTTTTCTTCGTAAATCGCAGAATACTGAAAAAAAAATTCTCCGCGATTTAGCCCGCAATTCTGAATCGATTCTGAAAATTTAAAAACTGTTCGAAACATATTAGTTGGGTATCGATCTGATTAGTTTTTGGTAAAGATCGTCCGGGCCATTTTCTTGTAATAAAGTGTTAAAAAAAATTCTTCGACGATTTTCATGAATTTTTTTTGAACGTAGATACCATGCTCTTATAGATCATACTAAAATATTACGGTCCTATGACAAGTCATTTAATTTTAAACAAGTGGGGTGTATGGCATCGTGCCTTTAGGCAAATTGCTGGAACTTCCCGTACCGTAACGAAATGTTCGAGGAATACTGAATGTTTTCAAATAGATTATTATAAATATTGTAACATTGTCTAATATTTATAAGAATTATATAAACTGAATTGCAAAATTGAAATTATTCGTAAAGTATATTAGAACTATAGTCAGAATTAAAAATAAAATCTAAATTATTTTCTATATACAAAAACTTGAAAAAAAATAGAAAAAAAAAAAAAATCCAAAATTAGTTATTTTGTTAAGACAGATAGAAAGTTCTTTGAACCATTTAAATCGGTTGATCCGTGCGCCCGAAAACGTGACCGAAAATTGTATCCATACGTACATACACACACACACATACATCCATTTTTTCTGAGGTATGCCAAAATTTTCAGACCCCTTCAAAACGTCGTGAAATGCAAAAATTTTCAATTTCTATTTTTGGATGATTACAATAACTTACCCTACAGGAAGTTAAAAATCGTCAAAGTTTGCAAAAAATAGTGTCGTTTTTTTGGCGTTTGTCAAAATTATAACTTTCATCGACGTTTGCTCAAAAACGTCTGAACCGATTTTAAAAATTTAAGAGCCAATCAATGTATTTTGATGCTGATTATCTTTTCTCAGTTTTGTGCAGCGATTGGCCGAGCCATTTCTTTGTAATATGGAAAAAGTGTTGAACTTTTCGTCCACATTCAAGCTCATACTACCGAATCGATTTTAAAAAATCAAAAATTGTTCGAAAGATATTATTTGGGAATGATACTGATTAGTTTTAGGTGAAAATTTTCACCTAGATAGATTAATCTATCGAGCCGTTTTCTTGTAATTAACTGTTGAAAAAAAATTGAGCCGATTTTTATGGGACTTTTTTTTGGCGATACATATCATTGTCTTATAGAACTTATTGAAATATTACGGTCTTACGACAAGTAGTTTAATTTGTTAAAATTAAAATTAGACAATTTACTTGGTATAACGATAGAGTACTTAGTCTTAATGAACATATGCGTACTAAAATATTTGTTGATTTTTGAAAATTTGCTTTTAGAAAATACTCCGAGTACGTTAAGTGTTCGTTCGTTTTCAGTTATGTGCAATGAATACACTCGGAATACTTTTAATCAACATAAATTAATTTTTTTTATTGATTAAAACGTTTATTTACATAAATCGGGAAGCTCATGTAACTTGCCTCAAGGCAACGTACCGATACCAACTAGTTTAAAAATTTGTAACCTGGTCTTTTTTACACAATAGGTAAGGTAAATTGAGACGGCCAGTGACCAAATAGGTCTAATGTTTTATTTGAATTTTGAGATTTTTCAAAATCATAGCTGCATTATTCAACCAAAAAAAATTTAAATTTCAAGGGTTCATTTTTCATAGACATAACACAGTAAATAATTTTTATCTGGTATTTTGTCAGAATCTAGTAATTTGCTATTTTTTATTTTTTACACTTTTGCCAAGGTAAAAATTCAATTGGTTCTTTTTAACCCCCTCAAGTGTAAGCTTTAAGAGAGGTTATTTAAATAACTGTTGAATCTGACTTAAAATTAACAATACATCTTATAAAACAATTAAATAACGTGTACGTTAAAATTTATATAAAGGTCTCGTGAACTAAGCAACAGTGCTCACAACCACGAAAACTAACGATAGAAAATACTTATGTTAAGCATTTTCAAACGTTGGCGTTTTTCTCCTGTTAGCAACGTAGTAGGAATCAAGGTGATAGCAGGTTATGCATCTATTTTCCTGTACTTTCAAATATTGTTATGGAAAAACTTGTAACTTTACTAGATTTTGTTATATATAAACGGAACGGAGTATATTAGTTAAGTTTATGGCACGTTGTGTATGGCAGAAGAAGTAAAATGTCTATAGACTACTATAATTATGAAAGATACTAATTGTACTTGTTTATTTGTTTCCATCTCCTGACGTTTGGATGAATGATCTTTAGACTAACCACTAGCCAGTTGGTTGGCATATTTTACGAATTGCCAGTTGGGGAGTTTTGTTTCCAAATGCAGATCAGAATAATTTATTAGAACACTTTCATTCAAAGGCTATTCAAGATAATTGACTATGTCTGACTGAGGTACTTTTTTGCTAATTGCATAGAAATGCCTCGGCCGATCGTCGCGCAAAATATTTAACTGCTGTCATCATCGAGATACAACGAATAGCTTTTAAATTTTTGAAATAGGTTCAGGCGTTTTTGAACGCACATATACCCACACACATACTTTTTCCAAATTTGGTCTCATTCGATTCAGAATGGCTTGAAACGTCGATAAAACATAAAATTAGCAAAACAGATTTTGTCGCGAAAACAATAACTTTTTCTTCGGCAAATTAAATAGTGGAATGAATCCAATTTGGTGTTTCGATAGATAATTGTGAAAGGATTTTTAAAAGTCATGAAAGTATATTGGTCTCAGCTCTATCTAGGCCGATAAAAGAATCTAGTATTGTTCCTAAGATTATTTTAAACTGAAATGTTCATGAACCTGTCTTGAATTTATTTTTCATGAATTTATATTAAAATTAATTAATTACTAGGAAACATTTTTTTATAATTACAAAAGAAGGGTTTTCTAAACTAAAGGTCTACAGGTAGTAATTATTGTTTATTAAATTTCAGCATGGCAAATTCTGAGAGAGAAAATACATTGAAAGAGGTATTGCCCGATCTTCTGAAACATGCCGATCTGTGTGAAAATTATAAAATAGAAAAGTTGAAACTAATTATAATGAATGATGTTTCTAGTGACAATAATTTCATGATAAGCTCACTATTTACATGCACTGTTCTATTTGAAGATAACAAAGAACTAAAACTGGTTATTAAAATATTGGACCAGGATGAATTTGTTCAAAAGTAAGTATATTCATTCATATTGCATGTTCATTCGTATTCATATGGTAATATATGCATGTTATGCAAAGTTTATATAAATATATATATATATATATATATATATACACCTAAGTCTGTTTTTACACGGAGATTGGTTCCAGAAGAATCCGTGTAAAAAAAAAACGTGTAAAAAAAGACATTGATCTTGTACAAAAATGGGTGATTTGTTCCTAATCTCTAAAACCTATTAAAATTGGTGAAAAACAAGAATTTTTAAGAACAAGAATTAAATTAGTGCTATTCACATTTGCTTTGACCAGTAAAAATTGTTTGTACGCGCTAAAGGGGAATTCACTTAAATTTTTTAAGCCAGTGTTCGCAAACTATCGATACTATCGATGGTTTCAGACTTTTTTCTTTCATAAATACTTTTTTGTGACATGAACATACTTTGCAAAAATTTAATTTGACAAAAAAAATTTAGGTACATAAAATTTCAAATCGTGCTAAATGGAATAAATTCGTGTAAAAAAATTAAAAATATTCAATTTTCAAACCGTGTTATATCAAAACCGTGTACAAAAAGACCGTGTAAAAACAGACTTAGGTGTATATATATATATATATATAAAAAATTGTGAGTATCTTACAACCGATTCATATATTTTAGAATTAGTCAAAAAAAAGTTGAAACAAACTAAAATCATAAATCAAAGTTCTATGCAGAATCTAAATAAAACTAGTTGGCATTTTGCCTTGAGGCAAGTTACATGAACTTCAGTTCACAATAAGCCGAAGGCAATGTGGTCACTAATTAAATCAGAAATTTGTGTAAATAATCCACTTAACCAATAAAAAATAATTTATGAGAGATTAAAAGCATTCCGAGTAGATTTATTACACTTAATTGAACACGAATGAGTACGTTCTAACACGAATGAGGAGTATTTTCTAAAAGCAAAATTTCAAATATCAATGATTTTTATAATTGAACCAGTTTCCGTAGGGCTTTGGCGGTTTAGTATGTTCATTAAGACCAAGAACTCTATCGTTATATCAAGTGAACGTCAAAAAAAATCATTATATCAAACTTTGATGAATTTTTAAAATTAAACTACTTGTCGTAAGGCAGTAATATTTCAGTAAGTTCTATAAGACCATGATATATATCGCCAAAAATAGTACTGTAGAAATCGGCTTAAATTTTTTTTCAACAGTTAATTACAAGAAAACGGCTTGGTAGATTTTTACCTTAAACTAATCAGTACCATTCCATATCTTTCGAACAGTTTTTGATTTTTTAAAATCGATTCGGTAGTATGAGCTTAAATGTCGACGAAAAATTTAACACTTTTTTCCAAATTACAACGAAACGGCTCGGCAGATCGTCGCACAAAACTGACAAACGATAACTCTCACCAACATACATCAAATGGCTTTTAAATTTCTGAAATCGGTTGAGGAAACGTCGATGAAAGGTCTAATTATGACAAACGCCAAAATTAAGAATGATTATAATTTTTGCTAACTTTGACAAATTTTTAAAATTAAACAATTTGTCGTAGGGCCGTAATATTTTAGTATGATCTCTATAAGACTATAGTATTAACCGTTAAAAAAAAATCATGAAAATCGTCGAAATTTTTTTTAACACTTTATTACAAGAAAATGGCCGATCTTTACCAAAAACTAATCAGCACGATTCCCAACCAATATCTTTCGAACGGTTTTTGAATTTTCAAATTATTTTTCACTTTTCTGCTATTTACAAAGAAACGGCTTGGCTGATCGTCACGCTAAATTGATACACGCAAGTCCTCATCGAGATACATCGAATGGCTTTTAAATTTTTAAAATCGATCCAGCCGTTTTTGAGAAAACGTCGATTTACGGCGAAAAATCTGTTCACAAATTCATTCGATTCAGAATGGCTTGAATGTCGAGAAAATATAAAATTAGCGAATCTGATTTTTTTATGAAAACATAAACTCTTCCCTCGGGAAGTTAAAAAAATATTGTTCTCCATATGAATATAATGTAAATAGAAACTGTCAGTTTCTAATGTAATACAAACTAACTATTATTAATGAGCATTGAACAAAATATTTAATCTGGTAAAACTTTTGAAGAAGACATCTTACAATATTAACTTTCATAACAAATTTTAATAAAATTAACTTTTAAAATTAAATATTAAATATACAGTTAAGACTAAAGAATAATATGAAATTGTGGACAAACAAAAACAACAGAACATCAAATTAAAAAGACAACGCAATACTCTACGAATCAATAATTTAAAACTTATAATTACATTAAATATAAAAGTAAAATTTCTTTTAATTAAAGCGTTTTTCAATCAAGACCGTTGATAAAGCTACAAGTCAACCTGGTCTTTCAATTGACCAAATTATTCAACATACACAAAAACCATATATGATCTGTTCACGAAGTTTTCGTATTATTTCCGTGTTATTCTGTATTTTAGGTGTCGAATTCCCACAATTCAAAATATAAACTAGTTGGTATTGGTATTTTGCCTTGAGGCAAGTTACATGAACTTCTGGAAATGTATGAATAATCGACTTAATCAATAAAAAATAAATTAATTTATGAGTGATTATAAGTATACCGAGTGGATTTATTACACATCATTGCAAACGAACGAACGAACACGTTGTTAACTCGGAGTATTTTTTAAAAGCAAATTTTCAAAAATCAATAATTTTTATATTTGAAACAGTTTCCGTAGGACTTTAATGGTTTACTATGTTCAAGACCAACTCATTTTCTCAAACTTTGATGAATTTTTAAAATTAAACTACTTGTCGTAAGGCCGTAATATTTCAGTAAGTTCTATAAGACCATGATATATATCGTCAAAAAAGTTCCATGAAAATCGGCTTAAATTTTTTTTCAACAGTTAATTACAAGAAAACGGTTCTGTAGATTTTCACCTAAAACTGATCAGTAACATTCCCAACTAATATTTTTCGAACAGTTTTTGATTTTTTAAAATCGGTTCGGTAGTATGAGCTTAAATGTGGACGAATGGTTTAACACTTTTTTCCAAATCACAAAGAAACGGCTCGGCCGATCGTCGCACAAAACTGACAAACGATGATCATCATCGAGATACATCAAATGCTTTTTAAATATCTGAAATCGGTTTAGGCCGTTTTGAGCAAACGTCGATGAAAGTTCTAATTTTGACAAATGCCAAAAAGACTACTATACTAATTTTTGCAAACTTTGACGAATTTATAAAGCTAAACCAGTTGCCGTAGGGCCATAATATTTTAGTATGATCTAGAAGATTGTGGTATCTACCGTCAAAAAAATAATCATAAAAATCGTCGATTTTTTTTTTGTAAAACTTTATTACAAGAAAACGGCCCGGCCGATCTCTACCAAAAACTAATCAGCACGATTCCCAACCAATATCTTTCGAACGGTTTTTGAATTTTCAAAATCGATTCAGAATAGCGGGCTAAAACGTAGACGAAAATTTTTTCACTTTTCTGCGATTTATAAAGAAACGGCTTGGTCGATTGTCGCACAAAACTGACAAACAATAGTCCTCATCGAGATACATCGAATGGCTTTTAAATTTTTGAAATCGTTTCAGCCAATTTCGAGAAAACGTCGATTTACGGCAAAAAATCTGTTCACACACACACACACACACATACTTTTTCCAAATTTGGTCTCATTCGATTCAGAATGGCTTGAAACGTCGAAAAAACATAAAATTAGCGATTTGGATTTTTTTATGAAAACATAAACTTCTCCTTCGGGAAGTTAACAAGGACTTTTCGTATAGAAACTAAAATCGTAATTTAATTTTGATTAAGCATCATTCTTTTAAATCCCATTAAGCTATAATTTACTAAAAATTTAATGGCGTAATTATAAATTTGCTAATGAAATTTTGTCTATGCAGGTCATTTGGTATGGATAAGATGTTTGCTAACGAAATTGTTGCTCATAACACGGTGATCGACAGTTTGGATTTGAAAACTTTATTTCCTCGATGTTATTATTTTTCTGAACATGGAACACCAATCATCATAATGCAGGATATACGAGTCGACGGCTATCGTATGACAGATAGCATGACCTGGCTGTCTAAAGAGCACATTTCTATTGCTGGTATGCAATCAATTAACTAATTAAATATATACAACTAATTATATATATATATCATTGTATATATATATATATACAATGATACACACGTGTGCGTGTGATGGATCCATAGACCTTATACTACATTGTATATGTGAAAATACAATATTTATTGGCACAATTTTTATTATAATAAATTATGAATGTGAAGTGAGGTTATTGCGAATTGGTGTGAACAAAAATGTAAATAATCTAAAATATCTTTGAGCTTTATTTGTGCTGAATAGAAGACTTATTTGATTCATATATATTTCATATATGGGTCAATCTTTCACAAACCGCACACCGACCAGATCTTGACATTTGAACATTGTCTGATTTTTTTTACAGATATTAAACATAAAACCATCTGACACGTATTTCAGGATTTTTTTTATTGAAATATGGATGATGTGCTCAATTTCAATGTATAATTTTTATTATATTTTACTCATATTAAGGTCAACTTTATAATAATTAAATAAAAGTTTTTGCAATTTCCTTAATAATAACAACCTCTAGATATTCACTAAAGTTTTACCTAACCTTAAGTCACGCTTTCCACGCCAGGAACCTCAAAGACTTGTACGCATTTGTCACTTTGAAAATTGAAAAATATTTTATAAATTTGTTTATGGAGACAAATGAATATATATAAAAAAATATTAGAAGAGAACAGGGCTTAAAGGTCTGCGTGTAAAAGTTCCACTATGCATATCTCAAAAACAAATAAAGTTAGGAACTTTTTCATAACAATATTTTGAAGTAGGAGGACTTTTAAGTTAGATTCAACCATTTTTTCTAATTATGGAAATATATTTTTCAGCTATTTTTCCGAAATTTGTCATTTTTTCCTTTTAGCCCTTATCCCGGGTAAAAAGTATAGCCATCGTGCAAACAGATACAATATCTTATTCTTAATTTTTAAAGAATTTTACGAAATATTAGCTCATAGGCATATCTTTTACAAAGAATTCACCATATATAGCTTTGATCTGTTATTTTATCAGAAATATTCATAAGCAGAGTTGGTATTACTCTTAATTTATCTATTGTAAAAATGCTTTTTTCTAACTTAATTTATTTTTTTCCCATTTTTCTTACTGTTCACACCTTTGCCAGCTTGAAGGTTTAGTTGGTCTTTTTTACACCACTCACATGTAAGCTTTCATTGAGATAATTTAAAAATCTCTCTACTTTTAAATATTGCTGTTATGAAGTTCCTAACTTAACTTGTTTTTGGGATATTAGTAGTGAACCTTATAACCCGCGGACATTCAAGTTCCGCTCTCCCCTAATATATTGTTTTTCGACTATTTTCATGCTTCAGAAACAAAATTATAAAATATTTTTCAACCATAAAACAGTAAGTAAGAAGGGCATTCGAAAGTGACAAATGAGTACAAGTCTTTGTACCTGGCGTGGAAAACGCGACTCGCGCTCAAAAATATTTAATACCTTTCGATGTAACGAGTTTCCAACAAATTGTGAAAAAAATTTTGTAGCAGAAAAAAAAATGTTTTAATTGATTCAAGTTGGGGGAAGGACGAATAAAACCTTTGTGAATATTCAGGGGCTTTTATTGCTAAGAAAATTCCAAAAACATTTTGTTTAATTATTATAAAGTTGACGTCAATATGAGTAAAATAAAAAAAAATACTGTTGCGATCAGCACAACTAGAAATAATTAATTTGACGCAAAGGATGTTGAATAGAATTGTCATGTATTCTGATTGCTATTGAAAATAAAATTAAACAAAAAAAAATTGAGAAAATCATCAACATTTCAATTGTAAATATTAACAAAAACAAATTTTTCAGCAAACTCTGAAATTTATAACTGTAAAAATTTATTTACTTTCACGATTTGTGAAAGAATACCAATTGCATTTCTATGTCCTACAAATATATTGTATGTGTTGCAGTTAATAAACTAGGAATGTTTCATGGAAGAGCTTATACAATGAAAGAAAAGAATTTCAAAAAATTTCAACATATTTGTGGTTTGCTTCAAGAAATTAGATATCAGGATCCTCCAGAAGACTCCAACTTGAATTTGACCTATGATATTTGTGCACAACGTGGATTGAAGAATTTACGAAATGAATATCCTGATGACGATAATATGCAAAAATTTGTTACTGAAATTCAGGTGCCAATTACTAATATGATGCTTATTTTACAAATTATTTGCGCTTAATTTTTTCTATTTCTTTTTAGAGATTATTTGAAAAAGCTCTTGATTATGCCAGAGACCTTATTAAACCTTCAGGTCTATTATCTGTTATATGCCATGGTGATTACCTAAGAAATAATGTCATGTACAAATATGATGATACAAATCAACCTATAGATTTGATGATGCTTGATCTGCAGACATTTCGGTACGTCAACAAGAATAATATTTTGTTTTCATGCTTTAAAAATTACTTTTCGAACTGATTTGATGTTCATGTCATGAGAGAATGCATTTAGCTTTTTTTTTTTTTTTTTTTTTTTTTTAATTTTTATTTTCAATAGCAATCAGAATACATGACTATTCTATGAGCTATTTGGCTTATGTCATTCACTCACACACATACACACACACTTGCAAACACACATATAAATTTATCGGATCAATATTACAATCATATTTAGAGAATCACTTCAATAAGTGATTCAATTATTCTGTTCATATAAGGTTGTGGTAGTTCTAAAGTTCCTCCATATTATCTTCGGGCAGCTTCTTCTTCAGTCTTCTTGAAGTTGATGTCTCAAGAAGCTGAGTGACTATATGGTTTGAATGATGTTGTAGTTTTTGAAAATGTTTTATACTGTTGATTTGTATTATTCTGTTTATAAAATCAATATGAAGATCGTCGTGTAAAGTTTTATTACTAACAAACCACGGAGCATCAGTAATCTGCCTCAATATTTTCGATTGGACACGTTGCATTAACGCTATGTTGGATTTGCTTGCACAGCTCCACAATTCAATGCCATAAGTCTATATGGGTTTTATTACTGCCTTGTAAATTAGAAGTTTATTGTCAATCGACAAAATTGACTTGCGTCCCAGTAGCCAGTATAGTTCAGCGGTTCTAATTTTTATAGTATTTAATTTGGCGCGAATATGGTCCTTCCACGTGAGTCTGCGATCTAAATGCATACCTAAGTATTTGACGCATTCGGTGCTTGGAATTGCTTGGCCATAAAAATGTACTCCTGGGCATGTTGTCTTGTTCAGTGTAAATGTTATATGATTAGACTTGCTCTCATTTATTTTTATTCTTCATTTTTTTGTCTAATTCTCTATAACATTTAGATGCCTTTGTAAAATTAGCGAAGCCTTAGATGCATCAGCATGTGTCAAAAGAACTGCTATGTCGTCAGCCAATGTAGCTGTTGTGGTTGATTGTAATGTTGGAAAATCACTAGTGAATAGGATATATAAAAATGGCGCCAAAACACTGCCTTGTGGAACTCCTGCCTCAGTCTGATGAGATATTGAGGTTTCAGTGTTGACCCGTACTTTGAATTTCCTATTGGCGAGATAAGATTCTGGAATATTATAATAACCACATGGAGGTAGAGATCTAATCTTCGATAGAAGTCCCTTGTGCCACACCTTATCGAAAGCCTGGCTCACATCTAGAAACACTGCAGAACAGAATTGTTTGGCCTCGAAGGTATTGTTGATGACTCTTACGATTCTGTGGCACTGTTGAATTGTAGAGTGTTGACTCCGAAAGCCAAATTGATGTTCTGGAAATATATTCGCGCTAGTTAAGATATGTTGAAGTAGGAGTTTTTCGAGCACTTTTGAAACAATTGGTAGAAGGCTGATTGGTCTATATGAGGTAACCATATTAGGATCTTTTCCGCTTTTATGGATCATTTTTACTACAGATGTTTTGTAGAGAGTTGGCCAATAATTTAATCTAATTATTGAGTTGAATATATACGTTAGAAGGATGAATCCCTTCTTTGGCAATTCTTTCAACATTTTTGCCGTCACTAAATCGTAACCTGGAGATTTATTATTTTTCAGTTTACTTATCTCTTCAATTATAATCTTTAATGAAAAGAACTTTATGCTGTTCATTGAGTTGTGAGAAGGAATCATATTTGAGCTAAGGCCCGCTGCGTTAGAGTAATCTGGGTTCGGTTTGAAAACTGCACTTGAATAATGAGCAAATAAATTAGCTTTTTCTGCATCACTCCTAGCCCAAGATAGATGATTGCTGTCATCCCATCTAACAGGCGGATTTTGAATACGTGGTTTTAATTTGTTTTTAATTTAGAATTTTTTTCAATCTGGATTTTAATTTATTGCTTAAGTTATTGTATGTGTTCTTATCCGATGGAAAGTGAGTTGACTGCCATTTGCGTCTAGCTTTCCTTTTCTCTGAGATTAAATTTTTAATTTCAAAAGATAGAGGTTGATCCTGTTGAACTCTTGTTTCTGGAGTAGCAGTTAAAGTAGCATCATGAAGTGTTTTATTAAATTTGTCAATAGCAGAGTCAACTTCCGATGAGTTCTTAAGACTAATTTTGAGATCAGTATTGTTTTCTATTTTGCAGCGGTATAGTTCCCAGTTTGTTTTTCTCGAATGAAGTCTATAAGGTTTACAAACATTGATAATTGAAGAACAGATAGTAGCAGTTATAGGTGAGTGATCTGAAGAGAGATCGTAGCTTGAATGAACATCTGTGTACCTTGAGTTTAAGCCTTTGATTATGAAGAAATCCAATAAATCGGGCTTCTTCATTGGGTCAGTTGGCCAGTAAGTCGGAGTGCCCGTGGAAAGAGTACCATAGTTTTGTTGGACAATAACTTCATACAGTTTTCTTCCTTTTGGATTAATCAGTCTTAATGCATTTAGTAAAAGACTAAAAATGGTTAAATTGGATAACTGTGTTGGCTGGAGTCGAGCAGAAAGAGCATCAGTATAGAATGAGAGTTTAGATCAAACAGTTTGAAGCACAACTCAACGACGGACTCGTTTCTGATGCTATTAGGTAGAAAGGAAATGGAGAAAACTTGCATATTTATTTCTTTTCTCTAGAAAAAGAGTTTAATGATGTCCTTGTGATTTTATAAATGTTTTGGAGTTGAAAAGACATCCAGTTTAGATATGCGTGTGGAAAGAATTGGTAGAATAGCTATCAGATTGTTAATGTTTTAAAGATAGTTTCTACTAATCTATTGATAAGTCAAAAACTGGAAACTTCAAAAGAGAAATCATGACATCTATAAATTAGATGTCTTGTGACTGAAAAAGGTTAGAGGGCTGAGGACTCTTTTCGGATTGCTTCTCAATATACATATTGTATTTTACATGAGACAAGTTCAAAAGAAGAGACGCAATTTTAGTAATAAATATAACGATGAGTAGTGTGCTAATTGTGATTTGCATTTGTGCTTGTAAGTGAAATTCTGGTGATTCAGGTGCATAGGCACATAATAAGAAATTGTACAAACATGAAGGATATATGTTGGCTCTTGGCGGCACATCGATTTGCACTAAAGCCTAGGATAAGCCAGAAAATAATTCTAAAGTGCAAAAAATACTTTAATACGGATTCAAAGATGTATCTACACAAATCTTTCCGAACAAATAAACGACGAAAAACTGTAGATATGATTTGAAACTTCAGGAAACAAAAAGAAGAGGTTGGACGATTACACAGATCCACAAAAAGGTGGAAAATTGAAAATAGAAGAAGACGTTGGCAAATGTTATTGCCTTGTGGAAGAATTAGATTAAAACTAGTGGCGCGCATGGCATCGTGCCTTAAGGCAAATTGCTGTAACTTTCCGTACTAAAAATTATTATTTTTTTAAAAACGAATAACATTTTTGAAAAAAATTTACTTCGAAAAAATTAGTTTTTCAAGAAACTATAAATTTGAAAAAAGATTACTTTTTTTGAAAAAAAAAATATTGAAAAAAAAGGTTTCTTTATTTTGATATATTTTGGAAGTTCTGAACTTTTTTTCAAAGCAATCGTACTGCTTTAACTGCATAGAGACGAAATATCAAAGCGCGTAAGCGCCGCGATGCCGTCTAACGGATGAACATTGATACGGAACCCATAGGAATGTAAACAAAATTTATACTCATTGTTAAAATCTCTTTAAAATATCGGATATTTCGATGTGCATATGTCTAATGATCATTTTTGACCGCCAAATGGCATTTTTTTTTTACTTTTTTCATTAGACCTCCGAAACCGCTAAACCTGCCTTGATGAAAATTTGATCAATTTTTCATCTTGTCAATACAAGTAAAACGTTTTTTGAATTATTAAAATCGAACGCTCCGTTCTCTTAAAAACTGAGTTACCATTTTTTGCACTTTTTGCCCGGTATTTTCGGAACGGCTAGGCCTATCTTCGCCAAAAACTAATCAGCACATTTCCTTATCAATACGAATCGAATGTTTTTTTATTTATTCAAATCACTTGTATCCGCACACACACACGCACACACACATTACCACACACATACATCCATTTTTTCTAAGGTATGCCAAAATACTCAGAAACCTTTGAAACGTAAAGATATATAAAAATTTTCATTTTCGATTTTTTTGCGATTACTATAACTTGCCCTACGGGAAGTTAAAAATTTGCGATATATAAAAATTTTCCCGACAATATTGTGATAAAGAAATAGGAAAACATGATCGAAGACGGACATGAACCATGCACTAGAAGTAGTTATTACATATGAGAATGATCACTCTGTACAAGAAGGCCAAAACGGAACATCTAGATACTGACTGTTGTATCTTTAAATCAAATACATCAGCAACTATATTTTTGTGTTCGATTAGGGGTAAAAATTAGGTAAAGCAATATAAAGGCATCATATATTTTTATGCGATGGAATTCATTCTCTAAAATCGAAAAACTGTTGTGATATCGATATTTATTGGTCTATTTTATCACAACATCTCTAGATACTTTGACCTAATTGTGTGACAGTTGCATTTAGTTCTATTTCAGAGTAATTTAAATTACAGATTAAACCCAATTTTTCTCTGACTCTGGCGTAGAGAAAAGAATTGAAATGCTATATTAACAAGACATTATTGAATATTACCTTATCATAATATTATTACTATTACTATTATATTTGTATATATGCTTTATATTTTAGATATGCTTCCCCTGCAACGGATTTGTCTGTATTTTTATTTATGCACTATGATGGCAAACAACTGATTGAAGACTGGGATTATTTCTTTAGTGAATATCATAAAGCGCTAGTAAATGAACTCAGCATTGGTTTGAATAGGCCGATTAATGATCTTCCTAGCTGCTACAGGTTCGTAAAAATAATAATAAAAATCATTTGATTTATTTGCTTGTATTATATAAAATTTATTGGTCTTACTTTGCTGTATTTATATACTCTGACTACATACATATTTAATTTACATATGGGGTAGATCGGGGCACAAAGGTCCAATTTGCAATTATATCATAACAAATAACACATATCAAACAACTATCTGATTATGTTCAATACTTCCAGCTAATTCATCATTCTAGAAATGTGTTTTTTTTTGCTGTTTTTCAAAAATATGTAACCAGATTCTTTTACCCGGGGTTAATTGGGGCGGCCAGTGTCCCAATTGGACAACATGTCCAATGTTTTATTTTAATTTTGAAGAGGTTTTACAAAATATTAGCTGCATTATTCAGCCAATGCAAAATATAAATTTCATGGATGCATTTTCTACAGCGATAGCACTGTAAATAACTTTGATCTAGTATGTCATTAGAAATATTCACCAGCAGAGTAGAAATAACTATTTATTTAATTTTTTTCTTGTGAAATTGCTTATTTTAACTTGATTTACTTTTTTATTTGCTATTTTTTATTTTTCACAACTTTACCAGTGTGAAGGTTTTCAGTTGGTCCCTTCTACGCCACCCAGATGTAAGCTTTTTAACTTCTGGATTTAACTTAAAATTAACAATACCTCTTTATAAACTTTATAAACCAATTAAATAATGAATATTAACTTCCCGTAGGGTAGTTATAGTAATGGGCCGAAAATCGAAAATGAAAATTTTTGTATATCTTCAGGTTTTGAAGGTTTCTGAACATTTTGGCATACCTCAGAAAAAATGGATGTGTGTGCATGTTATTATTTTTTTTTTTTCAATTTTTTTTTGTATGCCGAAAATAATTTAGGTTTTAATTTTAATTCTTGCTAAACTTCACTTATATACTATAAGTAAATAATGATGACTTTGTAATTCAGTTTATATAATTCGTATAAATATTACACAATGTTACAGAATTTACATTAATCGTAACTGTCCAGCGATTTGCCTTAAGGCACGATGGCATTCACCACTAGTATAAAATTATATTAAGGTCTGGAAAAATAAGCAACAGAGCTCACAATAAAATATAACAACCCAAAAAAATAATTTTGTCATGTATTTTTAAATATTTCAGTTTTTCTCGAGATATCATCGTCACAAGATTCAAAGTGGTGTCTAGATATGCATCCAATGTTTTATTTTAACGTTGTTGTTAAAAAATTCTTAACTTTAATAGTTTTTGAGATTTTGGTGGTGCTCCTTTTTACCCGGGAACCTTCAAACCCAGCTTTACCCTAAATCTTTTATCTGAAAAGCTGCTTATTCATGGTTATAATTTTCTGAACTTAAAATCTTTTTTAAATATTTTTTTATTTAACAGAAATATTTTTTGTGTGTAATTAATTGTACGTTTTGGAGAAATGGCATGTCTCTTCTTCAAAAACTATAAGAGTTTGACTTTAAAAAGAAAAATTATACTAGGTGTAAGTTAACTTTTGTCTTAAGGCAATTTGTTTAAACCATGTTATGTTAGGCATGTTAGTTATTTTTGATAAACGGTTTAAATATTACACATTATTGAAAACCGAAACGTATTTTAGTATATCATTAAAACCAGAAACTCTACTGTAACACAATGTATCATTGAATTTATCATACAATTTTTTAGCAATCAATTATAAAGAAATCACTTGACCGATTTTTGCAAAAACAAGTCACCTAAATCCCTAAAAACCTTACCAATAAATGGTTTTCGAGTTTCATCGAATTCGCTTTTTTCAATTTGTTTCCAAACGATTCTGAATGACTTGAAACGTTGAGAAGACACAAAATTAGCAATTTGGATTTTTTTGAATTATACATTCACTAAAAGGTATAGTTGGTTGTACTATGAGAACTAGGTGTGTATTTTGACCGACTGACGGAATTAATTAAAATATTTATACAGTAGAGCGTGTAAAGTAAACCACCGCCATAATTTCAAAAACATAGTATAGAATTTTTTATGATACTTTATGATAATTTTTATAATCTTAGATAATGAAGAAAAAGATGTATCATCAGCTTTCGTCTTAATTTCGACGACGTCGCTATTATGAGATAAATGGCTATCTATCAATATCTATTACAAACGAATCTTTTTTGTTGGCATTTTTTTTGGTTTTGAGCTCTTTTAATTATTTTATGGTATCTGAATTTATTTTTTAGTATACGTTATTAATTGTTTTATAAGATGTATTGCTATTAACTTCCTTAAAGGAAAAGTTTGTTTTCAAGAAAAAATCCGTTTAGCTAAATTTATGTTTTCTTGACGTTTCAAGTCATTTTGAATCGAATGAGACCTAATTTGAAAAATGTATTGGTGTGTGTATTGCAATGTGTGTTTGTATGTGATCTAATTTTTGACAATTTGCCGATGTTTTCAAAAAATCGGCTGAACCGATTTCAAAAATTTAAAAGCCATTCGATGAAATTCGGTGAGCATCCGCGTTGGTTAGTTTTTTGACGAGATCGACTGAGTCGTTTCTTTAAAATTAGCCGAAAAGTGCAAAATTTTTCGGCTGCATTCTAGCCTAAAATTCTGATCTTATTTCAAAAATTTAAATAACTTTCATAAAAGCTTACATGTGGGTGGGGTAAGAAGGAACAACTAAATTAACCCTGGCAAAGGTGTAAACAATAAAAAAACTAGTGGGGTGGGTGGCATCGTGCCTTAAGGCAAATTGCTGGAACTTCCCGTATCGTAATGAAATGTTCGAGAAATACTGAATGTTTTTAAATAGATTATTATTAATATTGTAACACTGTCTAATATTTATAAGAATTATATAAACTGAATTGCAAAGTTGAAATCATTTGTTTAAAGTATATTAGAACTATAGTCAGAATTTAAAATAAAATCTGAATTATTTTCGATATACAAAAATTAAAAAAAAAAAAAAATTAAAAAAAATTTGAAACAAAAATTTTTTATTCCAAAATCAATTATTTTGTTAAGACAAGCAGAAAGTTTTTTGAATCAATCAAATCGGACGCTTAGTTCTCTCAAAAACTGCCATTTTTTGTACATTTAGCTCCGTATCTTCGGAATGGCTGGGCCTGCCTTTGCGAAAAACTAATAACCACTTCTCCCAATCATTACTAATTAAATGTTTTTAGATCATTCAATTCGGATGCTCCGTTCTCTCAAAAACTTGATTTCTATTTTCTGCACTCTTTGCTCTTTATCTCCGTAACTGCTGGACCTGCCTTTGCCAAAAACTAATCAGCACATCTCCTTATCAATAGGGATCGAATGTTTTTTGAACTAATCAATTCGTTTGATCCGTACGCCCGAAAACGTGGACGAAAAATTGTATCCATACATACATACACACACATACGCACACACACACACATCCATTTTTTCTGAAGTATGCCAAAATGTTCAGAAACCTTCAAAACGTCGAGAAATGTAAACATTTTCAATTCCGATTTTCGGCCCATTACAATAACTTACCCTACGGGAAGTTAATTATAAATAAAAAATTGAATTTTGTTAAAAATATCAATTTTACATGGAATAAATTAAATTAATATTTATTCCAATCGTGCTGATATATTATTCTGATAAAATAACTATAAATAAAATAAAATAGAAGATCAATGTTATATACAGTATAGATTTTTGTAAAAAATGTGCTCATTAAATTTGTATTTCGCATTAGTTGATTAAGGTAGCTATTGCTGCCTAAACTTTCTAAACAAGTGAATAGTAATAATGAAAATAAAACTGTATTTTTTGCTTATAATAAACACTTTTCTAAATGAATAGATTCAAATTTCATATGATAGAGCAACTTGATCCCAATTTGTTTGTTAATTAAAATAGATTTTTGTAGACCACTTTTATATATAGATATAAGTATTGCTGACATTATAGTTTAGTGTAGTATTACCTTATGTAACAACATCATTATTTATTACCAATTAATAAATACTTCATAGCCTATTGAGCGTAATTAAAACCTTTGAAAAATATTTGATATAAGTTCAGTGAATTATATAGAAGATGATCAGAATGACAGATTATTTTTCAACTTTTAGCAAAATTGTGATTAGTTTTTCATTCTGTCAATACAAGTAATATGTTTTTCGAATCAATCCAATGTAACGCTCCGTTTTCTCAAAAACTGAATAGCCATTTTTGGATATTTTGCCGAGTATCTTCGAATCGGCCGGACCTGCCTTTGCCAAAAGCTCATCAGTACTCCCATCAATAGGAATCGAATGTTTTTCATCCCATCAAATTTTTCTACTAATACTAATTAAACTTCTAAGTGAGACATACAGAAATGGAAATGTTCTTTGGTCTGCAAATTATTTCTTTTTAGAATAATCAAGTACAGTCAGTACACAAGTTTAAAAAAAAACTAGTGACAATCCGAAGTTGGTTATTAGAATTTAACCCTTAATGGTTGAAAGCTTTTCCTTGTGAAAGTCGCGCATACGTCGACTGAAAATTAGGCGCAATTCGTACGGACGTATCGGAGAATCAAATTTTAAATTGAACATTTAAACTGATTTATTAATTTTCCAAAAATATTTGTTTTTACCGGAAAAAACAATTTTCTAATTTTATATTCTTCGGCGCTTTAAGTTATTCTGAAACCAATCTGATGAGATTTTATTTCTCGATTTTCTATCGACGTTAAAAAATATTTAATAGTTAATTACGAAGAAACGGCTCGACCGATTATTGTTTTTGAAATCTATTCAGAATTTATGGCTAAAACGTCGACGAAAATTTTTCACTTTTTTCTTAATTACTAAGAAACGGCTCGGCCGATTTTTGCACAAAACTGAGAACGATGGTCCTTATTGAGATATATCGAATGGCTTTTAAATTTTTGAAATTGTTCAGGCGTTTTTGAGAAAAAGGCCATCAAAGGTCTAATTATGACAAATGCCAAAAAAACGATACTAATTTTTGCAAACTTTGAAGAATTTTTAAAATTAAACGAGTTAGTATAATCTACAAGACTATCGATTTTTTTTAAAACTTTATTACAAGAAAACGGCCTGGTCGATCTTTACCAAAAACTAGTCAGCACGATACCAAACCAATATCTATCGAACGGTTTTTGAATTTTCAAAATCGATTCAGAACTTCGGGCTAAAACGTGAACGTGAACTTCATTTTTCTGCTATTTACAAAGAAACGGCCTGGTCGATCATCGCACAAAACTCAGAAACGATAGTCCTCATCGAGATACATCGAAGAGTTTTCAAATTTTAGAAATCGGTCTAGCCGTTTTTGAGAAAACGTCGATTTAAGATAAAACAACTGTTCACATATTCACACAAACACATACACACTCAGACATACTTTTTCCAAATTTGGTTTCATTCGATTCAGAATGGTTGGAATCGTACAGAAAACATAAAATTAGCAAATCGAATTTTTTTATGAAAACATAAACTTCTCTAAAAAAGTTACGCAGCGCGATTGCCTTAAAAAAAAGTTCAAAATTTTCAAACATTTCTAATATATGAAAAAAATTCAATTTTTTCAAAAAAGATAATAAAAATCCTCAAAACTCTTATTAACTTCCCGTAGGGTAAGTTATAGTAATCGTCCAAAAATCGAAATCAAAAATTTTTACATTTCTCGACGTTTTGAAGGTTTTTGAACATTTTGGCATACTTCAGAAAAAATGGATGTGTGTGTGTGTGTGTGTGTGTGTGTGTGTTTTGTATGTCCGCTTTTTTTCGTCCACGTTTTCGGGCGCACGGATCAACCGATTTGAATGGTTTAAAAAACATTCGATTCCTATTGATAGGGAGATGTGCTGATTAGTTTTTGGCAAAGGCAGGTCCAGCCGTTACGGAGATATGGAGCAAAGAGTGCAAAAAATTGAAAGCGAGTTTTTGAGAGAACGGAACAACCGATTTGAATGGTTTAAAAAACATTCGATTCCTATTAATAGGGAGATGTGCTGATTAGTTTTTGGCAAAGGTAGGCCCAGAGGTTTCGGAGATACAGAGCTAAATTTAAAAAAAATGGCAGTTTTTGAGAGAACTAAGCGTCCGATTAAAATGATTCAAAGAACTTTCTGCTTGTTTCAACAAAATAATTGATTTTGGAAAAAAAAAATTTTTGTTTTAATTTTTTTTTCAAAAATTTTTTTTTGTAATTTTGGACTAAAAATTCAAAAAATCACCCAGGCTAAGCACAGTCTAAGCGCCACTCTGGTACAAATGCTTACGCAAGTGCGTTTAGACTGTTTGTGTACTGGAGCACTTTTCCAATTTTGTGAAAATTATTGAAAAATGTGAAAATGCCGCCAATCTGAGCACAGTATAAGTGAAAATGTCGCACAGAATTATTTGCAAATGCGTTTAGACTGTGACTATGCAGGAGCACTTTTTCAATTTTGTGTAAATTTGGAAACTTTTTTTTTTTTTGAATTTGATTCGAAATGAAATGACGATTGTTAATGTTCTGGAGATGATAAATTGATTTATTTATAATTAACTTTCCATAGGGTAAGTAAACGCAAAAAAATCGAAAATGAAAATTTTTATATATCTTCACGTTTCAGAGGTTTCTGAATATGTTGGCATACCTTGGAGAAAATTGATGTATGTGTGTGTGTGTGTGTGTGCGTGCATGTGTGTGTGTTCGGATACAAATTTTCGTCGACGATTTCGGGAACACGGATGAAGCAATTTGAATAATTCAAAAAACATTCGATTCGTATTGATAAGGAGACGTGCTGATTAGTTTTTGTCAAAGGCAGGTCTAGCCGTTCCGAAGATATGGGGCAAAAAGGGCCAAAAACGGTAACTCAGTTTTTAAGAGAACGGAGCGTCCGATTTGTATAGTTCAAAAAACATTTTACTTGTATTAACAAGATGAAGATTTGATCAAATTTTCATGAAGATAGGTCTAGCGGTTTCGGAGATCTAGTAAAAAAAACTAAAAAAAAATAACATATGGCGGTCAACAATAATCATTAGACATTAGACATATGCATATCAAATTATCAGATATTTTATTGAGATTTTAACAATAAGTATAAGTTTTGTTTACATTCCTATGGGTTCCGTACTAATGTTTTTCCGTTAGACAGCGACGCGGCGCTTACGCGCTTTATTTTTGTCTCTATGCAGTTAAAGAAGTACGATTGCTTTGAAAAAAAGTTCAGATCTTCCAAAATATGTCAAAATGAAGATAACATTTTTTCCAGAAAAAAATTTTATAAAAAAAATTGTTTAAAAATTTTTTTAAAAAAAAATTTTTTTTTCAAAAAAAAGTAATTTTTCGTCCAATTTAAAATTTCCAAAAAATCTTATTTTTTCGAAGTAAAATTTTTTCAAAAATGTTAATCGTTTTTAAAAAAATAATAATTTTTGGCACGGGAAGTTCCAGCAATTTGCCTTAAGGCACGATGCCTTAATTGCCTTAAGACAGAATTTCACTTACAGCTAGTTTTTTCTAAGTTTTCGAAAAAGTTTACAACTTCTTTAAAAAAAATAATTTTTAGTACAGGAAGTTTCAGCAATTCGCTAAGGCACGATGCAATATGCCACTCGTTTGTTGTTTTTTATATGCATATTATATTTTGTTTATAATAAATATTTTTATTCTCATACAGCTTTATTTTTATGTAACTAGTAAATCTAGCATGGGACGAGATTTCGCGCAGTTTTGTCTTCATGGGTACTATACTGCATCGTACTTTATGGGATGCCTACATGAACCAATTAATGAAGATCCTGCAACATACTTTGCAAATGCATCATCTGAGGTAAGACTACAAAGATCCATTTACGTTCGCTTAGTTCGCTTAGTTTGCTTTGTACATTTTGAACGATGGAAAATACCAAATTATGGTTACAATATGGTCTCAGACGAATTTAGGAATATTATATTATTTATTGATGAATGGTTATATAAAGCCCCAGGGATGGTTGTGACAGGCATAAAAATAGGTTAAACACAATAGATATGAAAACCAAAATGATTTATAACAAATTTTATTGTCGTTAATAACAATAATAAGTAACGAAACACAGCTTAAAGATTTCAACAAAGCTTATGAATAAAATATGACATTATATAACAAAACATTTTTATTAAACAAAGTTAACAAAAATTCTTTGTGAAATCTTTTTCTTTTTGTATTAAATTTTTCTTTTACTTTCTCTTTAGTATTTTATCTTAAATAAACTAGATTTTTTTATCTGTTTATCCTGGCACGAAAAGGAAAAAAAATGCATGTCACAACCGTCCCACAAAATTTATCACAACTATACATAACACACACTTTTGAACACAGATCATCATTATGACTAAGCTAAATTATCTAATATAAATGATTAATGTTCAACTTCTAGCAAAATCACGAACAATGTGATCTATCTGTAGGGTGAGATCCCGTAACGCCGGACGGCACCTAGTGCCGGACACTCTATTTAACACGTATTATTTAAGCGAGTATAATTCTTTATATTTCAAAATACAAGTGAAAGGGTCGCAGGGTCACACAGGTGCAGGATCACGCGCCAAGACTCACCTGTGACACACACGGCCCGCCGTGGCAACCCGGCTGTTTTAGGCGCAAAATCATGGCGTCACCTAAATATCAATTAAGTAATTCTAGTATATTTATGCATTTAAATTTGAGTGGTATGCAAAGATAAAAGTAGTACTTGATTGTTATTCGTAAAATGGTAGTACATTATTAGATCTCTTAAACAATTTTAGTTGATACCACCAAATGAACAAAAATGTCTGACCCTTAGCGCCGGACACTAAGACGTCCCTTAGCGCCGGACAGTAAACATATTGATATTTTTGCGAGAATTGACGTAATTTATTCTAATTATTTAATTTTGTTTTGCATGAGCGTTAATGGTCACTACATACCCCATTTTTCGTACTTCCTAATCAAAGAATGAAAATCTTATGAAGAATGCTCCAGCTGAGAGCATCGGCGTGGCCCACCCAAAAGGGTGGATAAATAGTGATTTTTTTTTGTAATATCAAAGAATATTCGTCAAACACATATGTGCAGACATTCTAGAGTGTGGAGATGGCTACATATGTGTTGAATGCAGGTTCTTTTGAAATGTCCGGTACTAGGTGCCATTTTCTAAAATTATATTTTATGTTACCAATGTTTGATTGATAGTATTAATTATTTTATAGCGAAGGTTGCGTTTTTGTTAATTTAGTTTGATTTCTATCTTTGTTATCTAACATAAGTTATAATTTAATAAACGTTTCGTAAAGTATTTTTTGATTTATTTATAAATAACCTTAGGTGTCCGGCACTCGGGGACTTTCCCCTATACAATTAACAGTTATGATTAAAAAATTTGAAATTTGAATTGAAAAAATTACTTAAATAAACAATGCGGTCTTCAGATCATTTTAATATAAGGCATTGATTAAAGGCATGGAAACTTGTTCGAACAATTATACTTCATATTTCTCCCTTTTGACCCCATCTCAAAATCAGTATAATTTAGCTGTTATGACGACAGTCACTACCATATGCAGTCTCTCCTACTCATACGAATTTTTTTTATCTGAAAATTAGTCTTCAATCTACTTTATCCAAGTCCAAGTGATAATTTTGCTTAATCTTAAAATTGTGGAAATCCGTCGAAACTTAAAATGTTTTTTTTAATTTCTAAGAATCTCCAAAATTTAAACAAATATTCGCATTATAAAATATAAAAATAATTAAATTATTAATTTTTATAATATGACCTCTTTCACTTTCAGAAAATTGTTCTTGATACTATGACCCGTGGAGGTGAAGCTGTAACAAAATCATTATCAAATATACTTTTTTTCATAAAGTATGTGCAAAACAAATATGACTATCAAAATTTCAGTATAGTGTAAAATTCAACAACAACGAAATATGTGCCTCCTTAATTTTACTAAGAAAATTGTTATAAATTAGGAATTTATTTTTAAATATATAGTCATAATTCTTGTATGATAAATTCCATGATAAATTAAATTAAGAGTATACTTTTTCACTTCAGAATAGTGAAAATGTTGAATAATCAAATATATTAAATGCTAATAAATATTATGAAATTAAATTGTTTTTATAATAACTAATATAATAATATGTTTCAGTTATTTATTTCAATAAATGTTTCTAATGTTAATAACTGTTCTTAACTTGTTTATTTGATTTTTTTATTATTAATTTATTATAGACAATCGGAAATACAATTTTCTATGAGTGTATGTGATCCATTAAGTATGTCATTTAGAGGTCTCCTTCACTAAGGACATTCCCTTGTAGATAATAATTTGTGTTAATGAAAGAATCAGTGTTTAAATTAAGTTAGTATGTATTTTAGCCATATTTGAAGTAAAACTTCTTTAAGCGCGACATGGGTGTAAATCAGTACAAATGCAACGGAAATCGAAACACACTCGATTTAATCTCTATACGGGTTCGATTGTGATTGGTCGTATTTGTGCGAGGCTTCTCGGTATGCGTGACTTTATACGTGCGTCGTATTTGTGCGAGGCTTTTTTGTATGCGTGACTTTATACGTGCGTACGTCACCGAAATCGTGAAGCATATTGTTCATTTATTGGTGTTTCATGTCATTAAATTTTAAGGTTAAATATTAGTATCAATCTTGAGTTAATAAAAAATATCTGGGTCTGAAGAATATTTTATCCCGTCCCGGCAATTTTCTGGGAATTTCCGTACCAAAAATTAAAAACTTTGAAAAAAATGAGAGTTTTGAAATTTTTGAAAAAATTGTCATTTTTGAAAAATATATTTCTTTTTTTATGTTTAGAATTTTTTTTATACTTTGAATTGTTCTAAAAATTTTAAACATTTTTATATAGCATATCGAAGCGCGTAAGCGCCACATCGCAGTCTAACGGATAAACATTGGTATGGTAGGCATAGAAATGAAAACAAAATTCATACAAGGTATAAAAATCTCTATAAAATATCTGATAACATAATGTGCATATGTCTAATGATCATTTTTGACCGCCAAATGGCATTTATTTTCAATTTTTTCACTCGATTTTTGAAACTACTAAACCTGCCTTTGCAAAAATTTAAAGGGTACTTCATTTTGTCTATACAAATAAAATGTTTTTCGAATTATCCAAATCGGACATTCCGTTCTCTCAAAAAATGAATCATCATCACGGGGCTCATTTGCCCCGTATTTTCGGAATTAATTTTCCCATGTCCAAAAACTAATCAGCACGTCTTCTTATCAATAGAAATCGAAAATGTGTATCCAAACACACACACACGCATACATCCAGTTTTTTTTCAAGATATGCTAAAATGTTCCAAAACCTTTGAAACGCAAAGATATTCAAAAACTTTCATATTTGTTTTTTTTTATTACTATAACTTACCCTACGGGATGTTAATAAGGGTAATTAAGTTAAAACGCATTTTTAGAGGAACAGATGACAAATTCTTCTATATTTTTGGCATTTTTTTACAATTTTTATTGAATCTCGGAAACCGCTGGATTTCCAAAAACTTGATCAGTTTTTCATTTCGTCAATACAAATAAAATATTTTTTGAATCAGTCAAATTAGACGCTTTGTACTCTCAAAAACTGAACTGCCATTTTTGGCACTTCTTGTCCCGTATCTTCAAAACGGTTTGACCTGCCTTTGCCAAAAACTAATCAACATGTCCCCATCAATAGGAATCGATTGTTTCTTAAAGTATTCAAATCGATTAATTTATGTTCCTAAAATCGTGAAGGAAAATTTGTATCCGCACATTCACAAAGAAACAAAATTTGTATCAGCACACACGCCAGGGCCCTAACTACCGCCGTATCAGCCGTATCAAAAATACGGGGCCCCCAACGAGTGCAAGCAAAAAGCAAAACATTTTTTTAAAAAATTGAATAATTTTAACGTAGTTTGCATTTCCTTTTGCTATCGAGAAGTATTGAACTTTAACTTGTAAGCTTGTAACGCTTCAAGAGAATTAATTTCTGCTGCAATATTTCAGCTCTAGCAATCAATTCAATTAGTAAACTTTTGCACATCCGATAAGTTAATATTCTTGTGTAGATATGAACAAATCTATAAAACTAATCCAGTTTATACATTCTTCATCGAAAATTGGAATTTGGATTTTTTATAATTATATTTATAACATTTTTATATTTGTTTTTGTTACAACATGAATTGTCTGCATGACGCATAAGTTTAATAGTTATATTTTTTTTGATAAACATCGTCATTTAAATCATTTTCAGATTTCTTTCTTCACTGTTTGAAATGATTAGTTTTATTTCTGAAACTTTACAACAAGCCAGTTATGACTTACAAAAAACTAGTATTTTATTAAGTAATCTTTTGAATAGACTATGAGATTAAGTCCAAATAATTTGCAAAAAAGATGGATTGCAATAACTATTTTAAAGAATAAAAGACAAAAAAAAATGAAGCGGTATTATGATGAGTTATCACAAGATGATAGAATTTTAGATCCGAAATTTTATTTAAATATATACTATTGCTGTTTGGATATATTCATTTCACAAACCAAACAAAGTCGCAAAGGATTTGTGCGACTTAAGTAGTATCATTTGTCTTTTTGAAATCGAGAATTAAAATACGTTTCTCATATGATGACCAATTGATCTAGAAATAGATTTGAATACAGAAATCTAAGAAATTTATTATATTAAGATACACTGATGGATGCAATAGGCTTGCATCCAGTTTCCCTAACGAGATAACAGTATGCATTTTATCCTTGCCCTATCTAGTTACAATCGCAACTACTTTAAAATGATTTTTTTAAATTAAAACTATTAAAAATTACGTTAAAACTTTAAGACAGAATAGTGTACCAGATCTGTTATGTTCCTAGAGTTAGAAACTTTATAAAATTTAAAGATCACTAAATAATTCAGTTTTTACAAAAAAGGCGAATAAACGTCTGGAATCATTTGTGAAAAATTCAAAAAATTAGTAAGAATTAGATAGATAATTAATTAAAATGATAAATAAATATTCTTTTAATTTTATGTATTTTTATATTTTATAAAAAAAATTACTTCATGGGGGGGCCCTCAAACAAATTTTGAAACGGGGCCCCGTCAAGGCACGTTACGCCCCTGACACACGCATACATATACATGCATACATATTTTTTTGTAAGGTGAGCCATATGTTCAGAAACCTTCGATTTTTTTTCGGATACTATAATTCACCCTACGAAATATAATCAAAGGTGTGTATTAGTTGTAGTCAATTTCATTAACTTACTCTAAATAAGCCGAACAATCACATTTAAACATAAAATTCTTCTGACAATAAATGGTGTTGTTCTCAGATACCTCATTGATATTCGATTATTATAAACACACGCTGCATTTTATATGTGAATGTTTCAAATTAATTTGTCTTTATTATTAAAACAACGAACTCGTTTATATAACAAATAAAGAAACAATTGAGCATTAGTATGTTGCTGATACAAGCAAATATAAACAAGATGCGGCTGTTTAATGTCCAGAAACATTCACATGTAGCTACAGAATATGACTTATTGTGAGTGTATATAATATGCGCAAAATTATTTGCAAATATTAACGAATATGAGTATATATATATATATATATATATATATATATATATATACTAGCAAACCGTGCCTCGCGTTGCGACAGCCCTTATTAAAATCCACCTGATTGAAATTAGAATCCGTTTGACAACCAACATTTCAAAACTTTTGTTATGAAAAATTCAATCCAAAAATATATAAAATCCGGATTGAAATTTGAATATGATGGATCAATATATTGATTAAAGTGTTTTTTGAACTTAAATAAATAAAATAAAATAATTAAAATTTTGAATAAATGAGTACATTACAAAATTTATAGTGAATAGTCAAGTGACTTTTATAAATTTGTTATATCCTATTTGGTATTACGTCCTATTTACCTTGCTAACATTTTAACATGTTCTATGATGCTGTATTTAAGAATGGTTTCATTGGTCACATACAATTGTGAACTTGCTATAAGCCTTTAATATTTTCTTTAAAAATTTTCCATAAATTTATGATTAGACACTCATCGATTTCAATGCATTTTTTTTTTAATTTGTGATTACCTACGAAACACTTATAATATAAATTTCCGACTATAAATTCATATTCATACTATCATCCCTGAAACTAACATGGATAAAGTTCTTAGGAAACCGAGTCCAAATCTATTATATGTATGATTTTTGGCTCTTCAAAATTTAATATAATATGATATAACATTTAATTTCATGATTTATAATAATTTTGTGAATGAACATCTCAAGCAAATTAAATCTTAATCGGAAATCAATTTATTCATAAACCCGAAACATTAACAAACATCATTTTCGGCATTTGTTTTAAATTCATAACTGCCCAAATTTATTTAAATTTGATAAATTTTATTATTCTGTAAATAAAATGTAATATTGCCTATAATATAAGTTGGGATAATTAATGTATTTGTTCCTATTTGAATTCGTTAAAAATATTAAATCTTTTGACCTATCAAAATTCTGTTTATGATTAATGTTAAATTTAATATGTCGCTTTTTCATTCTGATCTATTATGTTTTGAGGACATTTTAGTATCCGAACTAATATGTTAAGCAAACCAAATAAATATAAATTATAAATTTATTCATCCGATACTTTCCATAGATACTGACAAATGACATTTCATTTTTTTTTAGTTTACAACTGTCAAAATTCATTTAAATCTATAAACATTATATATTTCTGTTAATTTGAATATAGCAGTTTGCCTAATTTGGATATTGTTGGATATGTTATAATAGTACAATTGCACAAAATCCTTCATTTTGTCAATACAAGGAAAATGTT